ATCACATTCCTCTGGGGAAATGTGTATATGTGTGTTTGTGTGTCTGGTCCCAATGGAATTCCCCATCTACTGCCATAGTAGTGTATACTGACACTGGATATATGCAGTCAAAGTATTGCCAAGAGAGAATAAAGGAAACAAAGGCAGAGAGAAGACGAGAACAAGTAACATAAACTGAGTCTGTAGTAGAACTGTTAAGATACAACATTTAGTGTGTCCAGATAAACAAATCAAGGGGAACAAGGAGTTAAGAGAAGGAGACACAGCGTTGGCCTCCTTCCTACAGACGTCATTTGAACAGTCATTAAAGGGCGCCTCATATATAACTTAGCTCAATACATTAAACTCCTGTGTACTAACTAGGGATGCACAATTAATGGAAATAATATCGAAAGCATGATTCATATCACAGTCGCAATATTTTGGTGTGTTTCTACAGGAGCCTAAAAGGGGCAAATGAAACACTCGCTCTAGATAGGACACTTTTTTTTTTGTGCTTTTTGCGTCCACCGTAGTTTCCCCTTCATGCTTGGAAGGCAAAGGGTGAAGCGAGTGAGTAGTGATCTGCAACTGCACCGCTACATGCCACTAAATCCTACGCACTGGACCTTTAACTATAAATTGTTCTTTTATCAATTTCAAATCTACTAGGACACGATTGTTGAATGCTGGAGCTCAAGTAAGTCCTGAATATTTTCAGATTGGGTATAGTCCTTTGGTAAAGCAGGGATGTTTTTGAATCTTCAGCACAGTTTAAGTGCTGGATGTTCTCATCAGTGACCGGGTATTTGTCCATGTAAGGTCAAACTGAAGTAGAAAACATATTATCACACTGCTAACGTAGGGTGTATGTGTGAAAGTGATATTTCTGCTTCTGTTTGTTTCTGCTGAACTGACCTCATGACACTGATGGATGCTCTTCTTCCCCTTCTTCTCTATTCCCCCTGTAGTACTTATTGTACATAGAAGTCTTGCTATAGCTTGTTTACACTGAATGAGGGTGTGTATGTATGGGCACCATTTACTCAATTCTACTCAAAGCCCCTACAAGGAACTTTCACTTCGTGTTGATTCTGGTGGCCCCTGTGGTAGTGTTTCCGCCACCTTGTTTTATTGATTGGCAGGAATCAACTGTATAGAAATATCCAATCCAATTGCTGATGATCTTGTTTGTTAATGTAGGTCATATAGAGGCATCAGTATTAAATTGAGACTGTTTAATCAGTTAAAGACTCGACCCTTGTCGGTTTAACAAATTGTTAAAGATGAGGGGTTTTTGTCATTATAAGGTTGCCTATAGCGAGGAAACAGCTGTAAAAATGTGACGTGAGGTTGCTCATACTGTTCCACTTACAAGCTGTCATCACCATCTTTAAATTTAAGACTGGAAACTGGCCATGTTGGAGAATCCTCGACCATTAAAGTAGAGCGAAGCCCTTTCTGAAATGGATTAGAGTTGACTTTGTCAGAGGAGCGTGGGTAATGCGTATTCCGTTTTTTTTGTGTTGACCAGTTACAGCAAAGAATACCTGGAATTCATAGTCTCATTTGACTCCATCGCCCAAGCCAGTCATTTTGATTTGCAAATGATTGAAGCACAGTTGATAATAAGGATGGAGGTTGGTTGTGTTTTTTTAGCACTTTGGTTGTAGGAACATCTGGACCTTTGCAGTTTTTATTGTATTCACCTTCTGTTGTCTCAGAAAATCAAACCTAGCAGACAAAAGATAAATAAACATAAGCCATTATCGCTGCCCGATATGCAAACTCAGGGTATACTGCTGCAAGTTAAAAAACTGGTGACACCAGCTGAAAAGAGCGTCTGACATCAGGTCACAGCTTTAAGATGATAATCACAGTGTGAAATTGGAGTTGTACAGTTTTCCACTGGTTGCAGTGAGTAAACACAGGTCACAAGTTCAGTCATTTAAAGTGCAGAGTCGGCTTCACATTTGAATTTAAACTCCAAGTTAAGCTGTCATTCTATCACTGGAATTTATATGAAAGCATAGCGACAAATCCCAGTAACATCCCAGCTGGTTGGTGAGCGGAGCGTCTTGTTGTATCAAAGTAGTCTCCTGGATGCCCCTAAATTTACTGCTGCTTATTAAAGTCTCATAATGTGGTTGGATTCCGTCCTCTCTTATTCTGCTTCTGATCTTTTGTTTTTTTTTTCTTTTTCAACCTTCACCCTTTCTTCTAATCCCACTCCCATCCATCTTTGTCTTTCGCCATCCCTCTCTCTCTCTCTCTCTCTCTCCCTCTCTCTCTCTCTCTCTCTCTCTCTCTCTCTCTCTCTCTGTTTCTTCTGTCCTTATCCCAATCCAAACATCTCCCTCTCCTGCTAACTCCTCCTCCGTTAGCCGACCTTGGAGCCTAAACTCAAGGTATGTTTAGTTTAAAATGTATATTTCTCAAGGAATGGGGTATAGGTTCAAACTAAGAAGACTTCTGTAAGGAATAGGTCACATTTCTTGTGGTGGAATAGATGGAGCATGTTAGCATAAAGACTGAAACTGGGGGAAACGGCTAACTTCAATACTTAATATGCTTCATGTTACACATAATGGTTTAAACAAAATATATTGTGTTAATTAGTGAGCTTTAGATGTATTGGTAGGCAGATTTTCTTACATTGGGACCCATGATTGGGACAAAGCCAGGCTAGCTATCTCCCAGTTTCAGTCTTTATGCTAAGCTAAGCTAACCTGCATTGTGTTCCTATCAAAGTGTGTCTTTAAAACCTATATTTCCAATGAGATATGAACATTAAATACAATATCAGTCTCGTGGTTGATCATTTTCATCAAGATTTTTGGATATGGTGTCCGTCTGTCTCCCACATCACCTCCTGTTTGGATTATTAGTTTATAACACTATAGAAGAATCATTTGTATTCTCTCTCCACAATTTATTTCTTTAATTGAGGGATGCAGTTATTAATTGATTTTTGTACCTGTTTTACAACCTACCAATGATTATCCCTCCATTTAAGGCAAGCATCATTATTGTGAGTATACATGAGTAGAATAGTCCTTTATGGAGTCATATAAAGTGATCATTTATTGCTGGGGAAATCTCTTGTCTTTGCTTCGGGGTTGTGTTTGTTAAGCAGAATCTGAACTCATTCAGTCTTGAATGAATATTCAAATGTTCAACATTGACCATTTGAGCTTTGTTAAAATCATATGGCAGTCATTTTATTTGTTCTACCCCACATTAAGAAATACCGTTTGTATGTGGTCAGTGGTTGGTTGTTTGTGTGTTGCGTGTTGTGTTTTTGTAAACGTGCTGTATTTCCTCTCATAGTATGTTGGTAGGGAAAGTTTTCTGTGGGTTGCCAGGCAGATCTTTCTCTCTCTTCCCATTTGATGGCGACGATGATGCTGATATTGATGCTCATGACGACATGTGTACATGAGTCATGTGTCACTGTAATAACAAACAATCTGGATCATCATCGTTGTTTCCCAGGATGTCTGGACGGTACGTTTGTGTGTTGGGCCAGAGTATGACCGCTTACTACTGTAATTACAGAGCGTGTGTGTGTGTGTGTGTGTGTGTGTGTGTGTGTGTGTGTGTGTGTGTGTGTGTGTGTGTGTGTGTGTGTGTGTGTGTGTGTGTGTGTGTGTGTGTGTGTGTGTGTGTGTGTGTGTGTGTGTGGTCATGGTATCTTGCGTATGACTCCATAATGATGATGCTAATGACATGTTGATGCTGGCTCCTGTGCCATCATTATGCTGCACATGAATGAGCTCGTCATGCTGGCCAAACTCTGTGGTTTCCAGAATTGAAACAGCTGTTGCACGACACGTGCGCACGAACGCACAATATCCCTGTCTGTCTTTCTGTCCATCTACAATCCCATAATGGCAAGGCACCATAAAACAGCAGGTACAGCCACTGCTGCCATAAACTGCTTATTTCATATCACACGTTCCTCATACATTGCTGTGAGACTTCTGTGAGGAGAGTAGCTGCTGTAATACAGCTTGTCTACACCAGAAGTTAAGTTGTTTTCTTAAATACAGCTCGGGAACAAAGTGGATCACATGGCTCCTCGAGGAACCTGCTGGACATCACAAGAAGACTACGTCTCATTTTAAATGTAATGGTGTTCAAGGTGGCCAAGCAGAAAGGAGCCCATGACTCATTCAGGAATCCAGTGTGTAGTGTTCAGAAATACTGAGGGATTCGGTGCTTAAATTTGATTATGGTTTCATACAACCTGGGTCTTATTTTCACAAGTTTGGCCCTATTACTATCACTTGAATTGAGTACTTCCTCACATACGACTCAGATGGTCTTGCTTATCTATTCAGCAGCATGCCTTGCCAGTTTTCTCCGTTCAGCGTTTGTGAAGAGAACAAAAGCTTTGTTTACTAAAGGGACAACGGGGCGTACAGTCCGTCAGAAGCACGGTGCTTTTTAGGAGCGCCTTGCCCGTTATTGTTATACGCTGTATTCTGAATTCCAGCAGGCCATTACAGATTGAATGCTTTTTTTCTCTCTCACATTCGAACAGTAATGTGACAACCATTACCTGCTCTTAACAAAATAATTGCTTGAATGTAAGAACATTGTTAAAAAGTCACCAGACTGGTTAAGAGACAATAGCAGTCAAATTAAACACAAATTCCAGACTGACTTCCTGGTTTGATTGTAACATACAGTACTTCACAGTTGTGTGCATATACATTATCGATGATAGATTATAGTGGCATTGAGGTGTGTTCACTTTCAGTTAGATTATGTGGCTAAACTCATGTTTAGACATCCTTCTAACGACACTGCCACGTTCCCAGACAACAGCAATTAGTTTGGGTAGAACAATGTTATCATAGCCAACAGAATTGATGGCCAAAACTCTGAAAATGAAACCCAAGTTGTCCTTTAAAGAGCTTTAACTGCACTGGCTACTGGTTAAAAAATTAGGGGCTCAATTTTTCTTATTGTTGTGTGTTTGTCCCACTAACATCTCCATTTCTGTTGTTGTCTAGGAGCCCAACAGCGGGCCCCCCACCCTGGTAACCCTGAAAGTTGACCCAGATGGATTCTTCCTCTACTGGACTGGAGGGTCCAACCTGGTGAGACACACACAGGAGCACACACACACACACACACACACACACACACACACACACACACACACACACACACACACACACACACACACACACACACACACACACACACACACACACACTGGTTGGTCTCAAAGGAGGCCAAATGAACTGTTGCCCATCTCACAAAGTATCCACAAAAACAACAGACATGATCAAATACAAATGGGCCACTCTAAAGCAGAACCACAATGGACTTTTAATGCACCAACATCAGTGCCAATATGGATATTACACTTGTTATTTGTTTACTTTAACTGTGCCACATAGCTGCACTCCTCCTTCTTTCAGCTATTTCGACTGTTTTTCCGAATAGCCTGTTCTTCTTCCTCTCCCTTTGTGTCTCTTTGTCTCTTATCATGGTTTTATCCAGTCCATTAGTTCAGCCAAAATGGGCTTCATCAATTTGTCCCGGACTTGTTTGCTTCCTTTTTCCCCTGTTCCTGCTTCTCCCTGATGTCTTTGTGGTCTTCATCCTTTTAGCTGTCCGTCTTTAACTCCATCCATCTGCGTTTCCCAACAACCCACCCCTCCCCTCCATATCTTTGGTGGCTGTGCTTAAGCCATTAGTTTAGTAATATTGGATTTTGGGCATTTAGCCGACATAATTAGAGAGAAGCAATAGGCAGTGAGTCAGCAGGATGTAGGGTTTTGAGATTTTGATTGTGGTTGTGTAGTGCAAATATATTAACGGTATTTTATTTGAATATTCATTTCAATACCAAATTCAATGATATTAATCTTTGCATTTTCATAAACAAATCCTGTATGCACATCCATACAACATCCCCCTCTGTGTTGTTGCCTTCCATCTCTACTACTTTGTTTCGTGTTGTCTCCTCTCCACCCTTCCATTCATCTGTCCATCTACTGTATGTGTGATGTTGTCCTGGTCAGGACATTTTGTGAGGCCTCTTGGATCAAATTACATTTCAGAGCAGCTCAATTAACTCACCCCGCCTCCCCCATCTCTCTCTATGTTTTTCTCCTTCTCGCTCTCTCACACACGGCCCCTCTTTTTATTCCTGGCTTTCTATTTATCCAACAGGCATGTATGGAATGACCTGTTGATAGCCAATATTATCACTGCGTTGCGTCCGTGTGTGTCTCTGTGTGTGTACATATGTATATGTGTGTATGTACATATCTGGGCCAGAGCACACGTCACCCTGTCTGTCTGCACGTGTGTCAGCATGTGTTCATGCACTCACATAACAGACAGATGCTTTAAATACTCATTTTATCCTGATGTCTTGCTATTGCCTGCACATGCGCGGGGGTATGTGGTATTGAGATAATAGGCCATTTGTCGCCGGAGGTGCAACTGTGACACTGTTTAGCAAAGCGGCAGACCGTCAGTCCTTAAATCTTTTTATCGTGACGATGAAGCCCCTCTGCACAATGGTACAGCAGTTTTATAGACACACGCAACTTGGAGCAAGCGTGTTGTTTTGAATATGAACACGTTAGTTGTAGAGTCAGATGAAGACAGAAAAGGAGAACATAATCATGTGTTAAGATCAGCCATTTTTCAAATCTCTGTATTAGTTTTGCACAGAAATAACATACACAATACCAGTAGTGTAAACAGTCAAAAGTGTTGTGGTAATCTATTGCAAACCCTCGTGCAACCTACTCCCCACCAGTTTCTGTTCCCTTCCCTTTGAAGGTCAGATCCTCAGATCAGCATTTTATAAACTGAATGTGATAGCAGAAATTTGGGTGAAATATCTCTTCATCTTACTGGGACGTGTTTGCTTTCTTGGCTCCAGCCATGCAAATTATTCATTTTCATATGTCAGATTTTATCTAGAAACTAAAACAATTCCTAAGTCAATGCAACTTCCGCGCTGCTTCCCTGAAAACTCAAGGAAAAGGCAGTGCCACCTCATTTGCCTTATGTGCTGCAATGTTTGGTTTTTCTTTCATTACTTGCTTACTTACTGCTTTTGATCTTTGTTGTTGTTGGCGTGACTGAGCTGGATTATGGTCACTGTTCTTACTTCAGTAGCGGGAATGCCGCTCGCTGTTGGCCACATCCAATGATATATGCCTCAAAACATCCAGACCACCCAGGCCAAATACAGGGAAATGTGGGTATTTAGACTGGTAGAGACCGGGTCAGAGACTGGCAGTAACCAATAATGGTAGTTCCGTTTTGTTATTTCAATGTCCAAAAAGTTTTATATTGCCCCTTTCCTGTCATCACTGTGCTGTTTTTGAGCTGCTCTTCCCAGACATCACTTGTCAGACTGTGTGGCCGGTGCTGTGACGTCTGTTTCTTCAACTTTTCTCTGTATTACATTTCTAGAATGACACAGGTTTAAATCTGGCTCAGAAGATCTGCACAGACCGCCTTTTCAGGTCTAATGAAGCGTCACTTCACTGTCGAAATAGGCACACCTGAATATGGACCGAGGCTTTACAGAAGTCCTATTTCATAGTGAACGGCTGGTGACTTCAGTGATCCCAGAGTGAAGCTTTAATTCAGCGTTATGGCTCCCCAGGAGATTTCCAAGCAGAGCTGAAGAGAAAGAGGACACGGCAACACAGATATCACAGCTATTATTAATGAGAACAGTTAAATACGCTTTTACACAGATGACAAGGGTATTCTGGATGGAACCCATTTCTCTGAATAGAGGTACCCGAAATATTTAATCTCCAGTGCAGTTTTTTATCTTTGCTGCTCTGCTTTTATTACTTGAGGTGTCAAACGATGCAGAGTTTTCAACTAACGATGTCCAGCTTTTATTGAAGGAGTCGTTCCATCCTGAGGTGATCAAGATGTATTGTATCTGCTTTGTGAAATATAGGGTACCCATGGTCAGTGAGTGGCTCTGGAGATGGCTCACTAAAGTAATTTTTAGAATCTCAGCAAAGACATGCAAGGGGGCCAAAAGTCTATAACCCAAAAATGTCACAAGAACTTTTTTTTTTTTAAAGCTCAACTTTAGATGAGAGGATAGAAAGTCAACTGTCTTTATCAAGGTGAGAAGGATGCAGCACTGATATTGCATTTTATTAAGCACAGACACACATATGCATAAAATTAAACTCACACACTCTTTTTCCCCCAAAAAAATTTAACTACAGTTTTAGAGGAAACCACATTGTAAACCGCATTAGAATTAAGTCATTTCCACAATTGCAAATCAATGTAATTTCAAAATCATCATAATGATGCAATGCAAAATAAAACTCAGTCCTGTAAGATCTGCATTGTGCACAAAATTACCTTATTTAGTGTCAATAAAAATCTGTAATTCACAGCTTATTTAGTAATTGTGAAAATGTCAATAATTTCTGCTTTGTCAAACAGTAAACAAACCAGATTTGTGTTCCAAAAGCAGAAACCTGTTAGGATTTTAGTCTAAGTACTCGGTTGTGTTGTCTCTCCCTTTAGCTGGAATTATGGTTCTCTGAATATACGCTTAAAGGAATAGGTATTTTGCGGTGGGGTTGTATTTAGCCTTAGTCAGCGTATTATCTGCAGTAGACGGAGGTCAGCTTGTCCCAAGTTTGGAGAAGCAGCAGGTAAGCAGAGCAATGCACTGCTGTGGACAGGGGCTGCAGAAAAACGTTTTTTAGCCACATAAACAAGGCCCAGAAAATCAGTATCAGTTTAGTGTATGATATAAAATACTGTAGACTGACCTGCACGCTTCCCAAATCTCAACAGCATGTCAAGCAAGCTGATTGGTGGCACTCGAGTTGAGAGGTGGGTTTGTAATGAAAAAGGCACATAAATGTTATACTTAAAGGGAACTTAAGGTATGTTTAAAACAGGACTGGGCCTGCAGTTATAGTGCTCTTTTCAAAGCCAATCGTCATTTTTACCTCACAGAACACGGGTGTTGCTGGTTTACTGCTTCCTTCGTGGTATTGTGTGACTTTGGTATAAAACAGTGTGTTCATTTGGGTAAAGTTATTGCTTTTGTCAATGGAGTCTAGTGGTTTTGAACATAGTGACATAATGACTGCGAGACTTTTAGAGAATGTATATATTGACAGTACTCAAGTACCCTGAATTAAATTGTAACCCGCTTCATGGCTGCTGACTGAGCACTCTCGTTCAATTTCAAAAATGATTTTCCCATCAATCACCGAGACACAAAAACCTGTGACTGACGTTTCCCTTTGATATCTATTAGTACAAAAGAAATGAATATCTCTGAACAACCTCTCTGCATGTCCCCAATGTACAACCTAGAGAAGTACACCCTGGCCTTTTCTCTCTCGCTCCATCCATCATTTGTCTTACACTTATTTGGATCACCTGCCTCCTTCTTCTTACTTTTCTTTCACACTTGTTTTACAGTATTTCCTCTTTAAATCTGCTTTATCTCATTCACCTTCCTCCTTTTGTATATCTACAGTATCTGAATATGTGTTCTTTCACCTTTTCTCCAGGTACTCCTCCTCATCACGTCCTCCATCTCTTCTCTTTCTCTTGACTTATCTCCATCTGTTTCATGTCACCTTCGTTTTAGGCCTCACTTTGTTTAACATGTTCGGTTCTGTTTCCAGCGTTTCATTTGTTTCTGTCACTTTCCTGACACCTCTTCTTTGGAACGGCATTCACCCTCCTTTTCTTGAGAACGGTATTCTTCCTGCTCGACAAGTCAGCTGTGCCTGATATTTTCTTCCTCCATTCTTCTATAATAATCTTTAATCTCTCTCTCTCTCTCTCTCTCTCTCTCTCTCTCTCTCTCTCTCTCTCTCTCTCTCTCTCTCTCTCTCTCTCTCTCTCTCTTTCTTCCTCTCAACCCCTTCCTTCATCCTTTCCCTCAGTTATCGCCCTCTCTCCATCTTTGTGTAATGTTCAGAAGTTCAGCATACAAGACCTCTGACGTGTGTGTGTATGTGTGTGTGTGTACTCGGAGCCCAGAATTTCCCATAATGCTTGAGTCAGTGGCGATAACAACCAACTGTCGCTGACAGACACACACACACAAACGCAC